TAGATAACAAAATCAGTGCTAGAAGGGAGGGAGGGCGGGATGAGGAGGAGGAGGAGGAAAGGAAAGAAGGAAGAAGGAGAAAGAGAAGGAGAGAGAAAGGAGAAGAAGGAGAAGGAAAAAAGAGAAGGAGGAGGGGAGAGAGAGAGAGAAAGAGAGAGAGGGAGGGAGCAATGATTAGAGATTAAAATAGCTCTCGCCCTGGCTGCAACTGACTATGAAGCTCCTGGAACGACATAGCAGATGTTTAAAACAGATTGAAATGTCACAGTAGGCATGGAGGGTGGAACAAAATGTTATCAGATCTTTCTCTCTCTTCTAATCAGCCTGTTCCTTTTGCCCAGCTCCCTGGGAGATAAGAGTGGCATTCAAGGAAGGCCCAAAGTTGAAAAGAAATTCCAGTGGGATGCCCCTAGAAAATATATAGGGACATACATACATACATACACACATACACATTATCTCAACTTATTTTATTTCTCCATTGGTTCGTTTTGTGCCCTGCCTATTCTCCAGGAGATCCAGATGGCATACCTCCATTCCTCTCTCCAATTTCCCCCCAATAACAGCCCTGTGAGGTAGGCTAGGCTGAAAGAGAGCCATGTTGCCTAAAGGTTCAAACGATCGAAAGTGGACTTGAACCTGGGTTCTCAACGCAATGGGCACCGTGTCGCACGTAGGCAAACATCTAGCCAGTCTGGAGCCTGGTCCTGCAGAGCAAGTTCCCTGCCATCATTTATTTATTTATTTATGAGACTTATATACCGCTTTAAGTGCAAGCACTCTCTAAGCAGTGTACACCGGTAAGCAATGTATATATATATTTACATTGCCCCCAACAATCTGGGTCCTCATTTTACCTACCTCGGAAGGATGGAAGGCTGAGTCAACCTTGAGCCGGTGAGATTTGAACCGCTGACCTGCTGAACACAGTCCGCTAAAGTGGCCTGCAGTACTGCACTCTAACTGCTGCGCCACCTCGGCTCTTTTGAGGAAAATAAGAAACAAGGGCAGGTGCAGAGAAGTGGACTCACATCCAATCACCAGATTCACCTTTGTCTTTTGATCCACTACTTTACGAAAGGTGGGGTTTTTTTTTTGTCTTTACTTTTTGGCAACATGGAGAAAGAGGAAAAAAAAAAAAAAAGGCCAGGCAACCTCAGTGTGAAATGCCCTTGGCAAAGACATTTGACTTGTGCTTGGCTTCGGCCGTCTTTCTGTAAAACATCTGGAAGGAAGGCTAGAACACAGAGGCCGGATGCAAAGTAGGACTTTGGGTTCGGTCCAAGGAGAAGCTGGGCTGTGTTGTGAGGAGAGCACAAAAAGCCTTTACAAGGAAGCTTTGAAAGGCAGGGATGGAAAAGAAAACAGAAGGATGAGGCGCAGGTTTTGCAAAAGATAAACGGGGAGGGGGGTCTTTCTGATTTCTGAAAGACCACATTCTTTCGGTTCAAATGCACAGCAGCCAGCTGTTGAAATCTAATTTCTAGCCTGCCAAATTGAGAAAAGCTTTTTTCTAAAAAAAAACAAACACAACAAACAATAAACAGGTGGAGGGGATGAAGAGAAGGAAGGAAGGAAGGAAGGAAGGAAGGAAGGAAGGAAGGAAGGAAGGAAGGGAGGGAGGGAAGGAGGGAGGGAGGGAGAAAGGGAGGGAGGGACAAAGAAAGAAAGAAAGAAAAGAAAGAAAGAAAGAAAGAAAGAAAGGAAGGAAAGAGAAAGAAAGGAAAGAAGGAAGGAAGAAAGAAGAAAGGAAGGAAGGAAAGAAAAAAGAAGGAAGGAAGGAAGGAAGGAAGGAAGGAAGGAAGGAAGGAAAGAAAGAAAGAAAGGGAAAAAGAAAGAAAAAAAAAAGAAAGGAGCCATCCGCCTTTTATAAAGATGGTTGATCTGGAGTTAAGTCTCTTCCTTATCTACTTTTACAAGATGAACGACAAAAACAGTTGTAATCTTCAGACTTGACAATGGACATTGTTGCTGGCAGGATGGCCATGAATGAAATCTGAATGATTAAGCTTAAGCCTTCTGTTTTGAAATACGATGACAATCCTGGGCTCCCTCTAATGGAATTATACTACGGACCCCAAGTCTCGGCTATTGTCGGCAGTTTGAGCTTGACTTCCTCCATTCTGTGCCTGATCGCTCTCTTTTCTTAAGGCTACTAACCTGCCCCCAGGGTCTGAGAACACGAAACAAAGAGTGCCAGCAGACGAAGCAGAATTGCATTCAACCCATAGATTTGTTTTTTTTATTTTATTTTAGCAATAAAGTTATTTCTCCGCCATCCAACGGAAATAGATGCTGCTAAACATAGCCGCACAGAAGTGGGTCCGCCTGAAAATAACTATATTTTCAAGCAATGGAGATGGTCCCCCTGAAAGGAAGATGAATTAATGTAAAATTACGCCTCGAGCCAGCTTCGAGAAGGGAGAAAAAAAGAAGACAACCCTCCTGCATACAGAGAGAGAATCCTACAAAGGACCATCTTTGCAAGTCGGGGACTGTTCTTCGCTTCAAGACTGTTTGATAACACCCTGGGGATTATGGGTTTCAAGATGCCTGGAAAGATCTCTTCAATCCGCAGGAAACATTTCTTCTGCCTCGTGACCTCCAAACAACTGAGATTCAGGGTGACATTTGCAGTTAAGCCCGTGTGTTTCTGCTTTTTTGGACAACCTCTAACCTCTATATTTCAAGTTGTTTGCAAAAAGACCCCAGAGGATTCTGGGAAGAGAGGAAGAAGCTAGAGTGCACACAAGTCAGGGGTGAGAGGCTGGCTGGGCCTGATGGAAGTCATGGTTTCTGTTGCTATTCTTTCCATCACTTCTTTTGACTTGAAGGACAAGGACAATGGTTGATCTCAACCGCTGCTTCTTTGAGTCCTTGTAGACACCTGCTTATAGACCGGTGATGGCGAACCTTTTAGAGACGGAGTGCCCAAAAACTGGCCCCGCCCCTACTCCACCCCCTGCCCCGCCCTCTCCCCTCCCTGCCCCCCCTCCCTCACCCCACCTGCCCGCAGGGCCACTCACCGCCCCCCAGGGCCCACCGCAGATCACCCGGGCAGCCCAGCAGCACCATGGCGGCCATGCCCTCTGCCCGTGCGATGGGACCTGAGGGCAGAGTCTTGTCTACACTGCCTGGCTGCCATGTTCTTGGCTGCGCTGCTCCGCGTGGGCCATGCTCGGGGGCGACTCTCCTCCCGGGGGGCTGCTGGTGAGGAGGGTGTCGGGGGAGGCGTGACTGGGGCAACAGCACATGTGCCCACAGAGAGGGCTTCAAATGCCACCTCTGGCACCCGTGGCATAGGTTCGCCACCACTGTTATAGACCCAGGAGAAATATCTGCCACCTCGGATTCAAGCATCTTCTATAAGCATCACGATCTTCTCATTACGTCTCAAATATATAAGCTTTAACTTACATTATTAACATTCCCTAGAGAAATAATAATAATAATAATAATGAGTTGGAAGGGACCTTGGAGGTCTTCTAGTCCAACCCTCTGCTCAGGCAGGAGACCCTATACCATGTCAGACGAATGACTGTCCAGTTTCTTCTTAAAAACTTCCAGTGTTGGAGCACCCACAACTTCTGGAGGCAGGGCTGAGTTTGAAGACCCCTGGAATAGATGGATGATTATTCATCCAGTAGGACAATTCTCTGAATAGAGATTGCTCTGCTAAACAAGACTGACACCTTCTGGGCTTCTCTGAAACGGCTGCTTGTGAAATTACAGGTAGTCCTTGATTTATGACCAAAACAGGGTCCGGAAAGTCTGTCAATCAGCAAGGTGGTCATTAAGTAAGTGACATCCAATTTTATGATGTTTTTGCTGCAGTTGTTAGGGGACTCACCACAGCTATTAAGCAAATTATTTATATGTTATGTATATGTAGGGGTGTAGGTCAATACATATGTTGTATATAGTATGTTTAGGTGTGTGTCATATATGTGTTGCACTTTGAGAGCAGGCGACTAAATTTTATTTTTGATGTGTGCCATTGTGCCCACGGTAAAAAATGACAATAAAGGTTATCTTATCTTATCTTACCTTACCTTACTTTACCTTATCACCTCACCTCGTCCTGTCCTGTCCTATCCTATCCTATCCTATCCTATCCTATCCTATCCTATCCTATCCTATCCTATCCTATCTAAATCCAGCTTCTCCCATTGACTTTGCTGGTCAGAAGCTGGCTGGGAATGTCGCCAATGGTGGTCACATGACCCCAAGGGACCCCCCCACACACACACAAGTGTCATGCCAGTTTGCCAAAAGCCCAATTTTGATCATGTGACTGCAGGGATAGTGCAACAGTTCTAAGTGCAAGGACCGGTCATAAGTCACTTTTTTCAGCACCGTCATAACATCGAACCGTTACTAAACAAATGGTCATTAAGTCAAGAATTATTTGTGCATGATTGCAATTTATTTTCCACTTGCGAGTAGCAAAGCCTCCTTTGCGGAGAGACGTTGGGACTCCGTGATGCTTCGTGCACACATTCGTGTCATCTTCACGGCAGCCCCGTGGAAAGAAGAAAAGGATGACCTGCCTCTGTTTTGTAGACGTGGATTGGGGGTAATTAGAGTTCCTTATCTGGGCTGTTTGAACTAACTAGAAGCCACTGCTAGATGGCAGCAAAGTCAGGCTTTCCGTATCTATCTCTTGGGTCAGTATCTAGTGGCTGACAACTTTTTGCAAGCAAGATCTGGGCGCCTAAATATTGAGCAACTCAGCCCAGCCCCGCAAAAGGGGATAAAAAATATGGATATTATCAACCCATGGGGACAAAACCCTTAGGTTAAAAGTGGGAAGGGGAAATTGGTTGATCAGAGCTGGCTGGCGGAGGAAGAGAACGCCAAGAGCTGCTGAGGCTCTTCAATTAAAGCATTAAAGGTGCTATTAAATTAATGCCACTATTAAAAAGCGAACGGAAGGGGGGAAGGAAAAAAAACAAACACCTTTCCAGCCATCCTCGCCCCGCCCCCTCGCCTAGCACCGCCCAGCGGGTCCCTGAAGAGAGAACGACCTTCTTCTCAGCGGCGGTCTCGCGCCTGCGCGTTCGGCCTCTTCCCAGCAGCCTTTGCGGAGGGCACTCTGCGGGCGCGTCTTAGCAGCCGCAAGATGGCGGAACCACCCGGTGAGTGTTCCTCAGGGGCGGGAGACGCCAAGGTGACCCCCCCCCGCCCCGGTTCCCTTGAGGTTTAAAAGTCGCTTCTTTCCGCCCGGATAAACCGGGGGAAGCAGCCCGGAGGCGTTTTCGGGACGTTTGGGACCTTAGCACCCATGAGCTCCGCCGGCTGGGACTGATGGGCTTTGGAGTCCAGTGCTGATCTTGGGGGGGGGGGGCATAGCGTGCCAGGGAGAAAAGCAATAGTGGAAGCTTGGTTCCCCCCCATCCCAAGTTCTATGCTGTCCCTCCCCCGTAAATGCAGAGGGAAAAAATATGGCTTGCAATAGTTGGGGGGGGGGAAAGTGGAATTTTTCTTAAAATATATAAAATACATTTTTTTATTTTAATTTCTTAATACATTTGTACAATGGCTTGGGGTGGAGAGAAGGAGGTTAAGCCACAACTGGCAGGATCTTTTCAGGGACTTTTTTTCCCCCCCCTCCCAGTCTCTTAAAAAGGACGTAAATCTATTTTTCTTAAGTACTTAAATATGCTACTTTTACGTGGCGCAAACAGAACTGGGTCGACATGTTATATATTTATTTTTTATTAATGTCTATGCTGCCCATGTCCTCTACAAGGCTACATGCTCGCTTCATCGACTTAATTTCCATCTCAGGTTAATGTAACAAGAGAGGTTAGTTATAACAAAAAGGGAATGTTTTGTTCTGCTTGTGAGCGGCTTAAGCAGGAAGACAGTCCTGAGTTACGTAGATCTTCTGACAATAATTCCTTAAATGATGTATTCCTCTTCCCCTGTTTTGCATTCCTTTTTTTTTTTTTAGTACCTATTAAAAATTTGAGGCTCCTGGATGTGAAACTGGGTCAGCTGCCCACCTGGATAGCATCACTGAACTATACCCCCAGAGCATTTCTGGAATCATGCAAGAGAGGTTAGTATTTGGAAAAATCTTACTTGGGGGCGCGAGCAATATTCCGTAGGAATTTACAAGAGGTATGTTGGAATTTCCATAAAAAGCAGCCTTTCAAAACTGCATTATTAATTTCCGAATTGCATTATTACATTTGTGTCGACAATGCTGTGGCTAGAATATATGCTAAGGCTAGTCAAGACTACTAAATTTGTGGAAGTATTTTGGCTTGTCAGTAAAATGATGGGGAAAGATAGGGAATTGCCTGCAAATGCTGAAAATATGGACTCGCTGCTAAAAAAAAATTCCATTGAATTCTGCAGCGTCAGGTTGAGTTGCAAGCCTGTTTCATCTTTGTCGTAACTCTTGAATTTGAGCTCCTCTCCCGTGCCTCTAAATTGGCATTTTTAATGTGGTCTGTACATTTGATCAGTTATTGCTGGTTGAATCGTTAAGATTTAAGTCGTACAACTTTTCTGGTTATTGGAAAAAAACAAAACGGAATTAAGTTGTGGAGCTACAGCCTCAAAGACACCTAGCTAAAAATCTCATTTAGCCTGCTGAGTTTAGTGGAAATCGCTTCCTGGTTAAAAAAAAAAAAATGTTCCCCAACTGTGGCTACAGGTTGACCTTTTTTTGCCCATCACAGATAGTCCTTCATGTACACCAATAGGAGCCCGAAATTTCTGTTGTTAAGTGAGACATTTGTTGAGTGAGTTTTGCCCCATTTTATGACCTTTCTTGCAGTTTTTAAGTGAATCCCCTGCAGTCGTTAGCTTAGTAACAAGTTGTCCAGTGAACTGTGCTTCCCCGTTGACTCTGCTTGTCAGGTCAGAAAAGGGTATTGTGTGACCTCGGGATGTTACGACCGTCATAAATAGGAGTCAGTTGTCAAGCCTCTGACTGTAAATCGCATGACCATGGAGATGCTAAAAAGGTAAATATGAAAAATGGTCACGTCACTATTTTCAGTGCTGTCGTAACTTTGAACAGTCACTGAACAAATTGTTGTAAGTCAAGGACTGCCTATATTTTCGTTGCCACTAAAGATGTATTTTCTCTCCTCCCCCTCCAAACTTTTATTATTAATAACTTCTGATTACTCTGACTTCTAAGGTGGTTTTTACTTTGATTAGGCCACAACAGGTTCTATTCAAAATACTGGGAGCCGAAGAGGTGTGGCATCAGCGGTCCCGCCATGTTAATTACCGCTTACGTGGTTTTCAGCTACTATTTAGTGTATGATCGCCTCAGTAAGTAAAAAGTTTTTTTTTTTTTTTAAATTACACTATGTTCACACAACGTGCCACGGTTCTGTGTAATGAGTGGGTGGGATGGTAGGCGTTTTTAGCTGTGTTCAAGGACTGGCTGTTTGAGTATTTTAAAGAAAACTGCGATCTAACCAAAGCTGGTTTTGATTATTTAGAGGAAGAGCGCTGGAGAAAATATCACTAGGATTTCCCCATACAAGAATACAAGTTCTCTTGCTGTGATCAGTCAACCACAGGCAACTGACCTCTGTATTTCTCTTACAAAGTTATCAAATGTACGCCGAGACCAATAATAAAATAATTCAATCTGTGTCTGGGAGAACTTATTTCAAACACTAGAAGACGGGTCAGTGAGGATACAAAACACCTTTTTAAAAAGTATGAAAACTAATAAATATGGGAAGGTACTAATAACTAGCTTCAAGATCTGAAATGTTCATCACAATCTCTTTTTTTGAAATGGCAGTTTTTGATTTTAAAAAAATGCTAAGCTTTATGTCGGGAACGCCTAGAAAATACACACTAATTCAGAGTCTCAGAATAATTCGGTTTTGCGACTGGAATTACAGTATATATTTATAACAGTCTTCCAAACCAACTTGATGAAAAAATATTCTGCAGCAGGGATCTTTTAAAAAACAGGTTTTTATAGAGAACTGCAGCTTACTTCTAAAACAGGATTTGTTTTTCTTGTTTTTTTTAAGCTTTCAATTCATTTAAGAATGTTTGTTGAATGTCAGAATGTTATGTTCTTAGGGAACATTTGATCATTTTTAGTGTGCTCTGCAAATGAAAATTGCATTGTGGCGGCATGTAGTTTGCATGTAATTAGGAGTTTTCTGCCTGCATTTGTTCGACTAACCATGATAAAAAAAACTTTGTTTTTGTTTTGTTTTTTTAAAAAAAGATACAAGCTATAGACGTAGACAAATTCAAACTGGACTCACTCTTCCCCTGATGAACAAGATGAACAATTCCATCTTGAATTAGCCTTCAGCCCAGCCCAGACAAGGAACACAAAGATGCAGAACAAAGTAGAGCTGGGCAATCGCTCACACACAGACATTTATCTTCTGCCATAGCCAAAGACTGTTGAGAGAACAGGCTAAACACTTTCAAAGGAGTAGCTCCACCCTTTTGAGCCAAACATCCGTATCCAAAATGTTTTTATATTTTAGAAGGCTTGTGGATTAAGTTTGCTTCTTCAAGCTGTGAACAAGGAGAGGCACTAAGTTCTAGCCTTAAAAATTAAAACAAGGAAATACCAAAAAAAAAAAAAAAATGTAGTTGCAGATCAAGTATTCCTTTCACTGGCCAGTCCTTTGGTGCAGGTATAAAAAAAAGATGGTTCAGTCATTCAGGATGATATTAGAGATAATTCGGCTTGTAAAGGTATATATAAAAATGCTGTAAGGTCCACTGATTCATTGCCCACTAAGGAAGGCCAAATGTCCTTTGGTACATCTGTTGGCATAATGTCCTTTTTCACCACACTAAAGAAGAAGAAAAAAAACCCATTGTTGCTCAAAGTACATATAACTGGGAGATTTTAATGAATCCTTTAATCTGAATATTCACGATTGGATAAATGCTTTTTTTCCCTATATAGCCCAATCTGAAAGTCCAGAGTTAGAAACATCCACACCTGCCTCTTTTAAAATAATATTCTGATAATGCAAATCAATGGACTTGCTGTTTCGTATCCCGCTGTTTGCAGACAGTATACATGTATGTGGGCGTGAAAACATCCACATGGCTAAATTTGGCACTGCAGTAACTACTGGAGGGAAAGCTATGGCATAACACACAATTCCACCAAGATCCGTTGACGATTTCAAGCTAAAATATTCCAGCCCCATTCTATTCTTAGCCTTCATTCCCCATTGTCTACATTATGTTACAATCCTACAGATCTTTTAGATTTCGTAGAAGTAGGGGAAAAAAATCTTATACTTTTCTCACTTTTTACAAAGAAGACGAGAGTGTGATTTCTCAAATTCCGCATTCCAGAATCGGGAATATCCAATGTTCAAACAGCGACAACACGTGTATTGTCGTCTCGCCTCTAGAATTGAGGATTGGCCAGTGGAACTGCACCAGTCAGCCTCCCCCTCCCTAGCTCATTCCCTACTCAAACTCAGCCTTGGCAGCTTGCCTTACCTTATAACAGGTGACTTGCTCCAGGGGGCGTGGGCCTCTGTTCCCGATGCTGTTGTTTTGGGACTGCATGACCCCAATGACCTGTGGGGTTCTCTGTTGGTTGGGAGAAGAGTTCTGACTCGTCAGCTGGATCAGAGAGGATGACCTTTGCAATGGCGTGTTGTTTTGCTGAAGAAGGAAAGCAGCCCACACAATAAGTAAGCAGCTCCGCAGCAGTTTACTAATATCAGACAAGAATCTCCAAGAGTGTTGCCCCAGACGTGCACCTATGGCGCCAAAAGTAATCCACACTTCCCTAAAAGTACCTCACGACAAGCTTACAATGTAAGGGAAACATTGTGAACCCTTTCAATCTTCCCTATAAGTCTGTTGTCCTGGATCTACCGGGTGATCGGACCGCAAAAAAGCAGCATTTAAAACTGATGATGCTGGGACTTTCAATCTCTACCTCAAATGCTCAAGACAAGAAGAGAAGAAATTGTGGCTCTATTAAACATTTCCGATGTTCTGTTCCCTTAGAGGAGAATAATAACAGTATCTTCCTGTAGGGTGTTAGAATCCTAAGGCAATTTGATTGTAGCATTTAGCTGTAGTTTTAGCCTATGCTTGTAGTGCCCTTAATTAAAAGCACAAAATAAAATTACTCCTGCTCCTCTCTGAATGTCAGTGGTCCATTTCTCTCCCCTCCGCAAATCCTCCTTCAGTACCACTATAACAAGAGAAGCATCTCTTAGCATCAACAAATGCATACCATTTAATTACTCAAACAGACCCAGCTCTCTTTAAGTTAAATTCAAAGCTGATGAATCTTCAACCTTTTAAGGATGGCCTGCCGAAGCAACTGAAAAAAGCAGGATGGCTTACTTTCTGTTGTGGCTGCGTCGGTGGTGGCAGTGGAGGCTGCTCTGTGGTTCCCATAGGAAGTTCGAACCGAGGACTGTTTTTCAAAAGAAAAAAGACATATGCGTATGGAAAGATAGGGAGACCAAACTGATAAAAAAAGAAATCCGCTGTTAGATTCTAGTTCTCCCAGGGATATTTTAAGCTTAGCTCCAGAAATAATACCCTCTAGAAAATGCGACTTTCTTTTCACGCTCTATGCTGCTTTACAGATACAGAAACTGTAGTAATTAGCTAAGCATTAAAGAGGGCAAATGAGGGACAGGAGGAGGCAGGTAAGCTTCACCCTTAGGGAAGAATTTGAAAAGTGCACACCTTAATAATGTCAGATAGAGAATTTTAGGACAGATCTGGAAAATACTCACTGCATGAATTTGCATGCAGGGCCTTCTGGACAGAATCCTACCAGGTAATTCACACAAATAACACGCCGTGTGTGTCTGTGTCTGCAGAGAGGACCTACAACATAAAATGTAAGGATTGTAGAAGGATTGGGCAAGATACACAAATCTCTCCCCCCCTAATACTAACTTCATCAAAGGCAAACTGAGATTTCTTAAGTTTTCAAAACAGCAAGAGTGGCCCAAATTCAGACCATTCTCTCTGAACTATAAGTAAACTTTTCTTCAAAAGCAAAGATAGGTTTTCAAGGAGTCAAATGTCAGTTCAGAGGCTTCTGCAAGCTTGGCCTCGTTGCTCAAGAGGTCTGTATCAAAGACAGCACAGCTATCAACAGTCACAAGCTGAATACCTACCGTGTTTACAAAAACCTCGGTCATACCAAGGGCAGTCTTTGATTTTAGATTCTGGGTCAATATGCAAGAATGGACACTCCTTGTTGCTGCATTCCCCTGCAACAGACAATCACCAGCTTCAGCCCGCCAAGAACAGTAGCAAAGTATGAATAAAGTCAAGCGCTTTCTTACAGCCATCACCTACACCTTTCATTAACAGCCTTTTGAAATATAACATTCAATGTGCTAAAACTTGCACACTTACACATTACCAGAGCAGAAGTGTAAAGAAACTGGTCATTTAAACAGTAAGCATCATATCAAAAAGTGAAAGCAAGGATGCTACCAGTGCATGACTGACTGCCCATCAATCATTTGTTCCATTAACATTCAAGATACCTAATCAAAATGTCACAGTACAGCAATAGCCAATTGACCACCTTGCAAAATAACACTTCTCATTTCTTTCATTGACATCTCAAGATTATAAAACTCATCACCGTTAAGGTTTGCCAGAATGGATGAAATGGATCCCACTGTGGTACACTACAGAACAACCCCCCTGCAAAAGTCAAGATTAAAAAGCAGTAATTCGTTATTACATTTTCCCTTACCGTATTTTGAATAGAAGTAACATTCTGGCATCTTGGTCATGTCATACTCGTGCAAGAATTCACACTGGTCCCCTTTTTTGCACAGGCCTCGTAACCAGTGTTTACAAACTACCGTCTTTTCACCACTGATGTGTCGGAACGGACACATCCCCCCTGCCATGAATTAAGAAAAAGAGATATGAAATATGGTGAGGAATCAATACAAGATGCCTCTAAGCTATAATGTTGCTTTAATTTGCAGACCTAAAACACCAGGGCTAAAAGGGAATAGCTAAACTACTTATTTTTTAAAAAAACATATTCGGTAAATTCAGTCTCTCTCCAGTAGAGCCTTCTAGGCCAATATAATGCCCAAGAGTTACACAACATTTTAAGACTAACATACGCTACGGCATCTTGACATGATTTTTATTCTGTCAGCTCAAGGTGTAAACCAAGATTTCCAAAAATGAGGCTCAGAATGCAGGTGATGAAAAAAAACTTTTCTTGAGCCATTTCTCCTCCGTCCCCATAAAACATGAGGAATTTCGGGTACTTGAAAACTGGCTATATATAACATATTGTCTTGTTAATTTATGTGATAGAGAGCCCTCTTAAACACACCATGGGAGAGAGGGCTGCTTTTTATCTACGTTCTCTATAAAGCATTATATAAATACTTACGCATTGACAGACTAAAAGCTACTTAAAGATTCACAAGAAGTGAGTGTAAAACAGATTGATTGTTTCATTCCTCCCCTCTCTTTCAGTCTTCTATCTGCAGTCACAGCTTACCTTTCCCACAAGCTGCCTTTAAAAAAAAATCACAGACGGCAGCACCAGACTCTGCGAAGAAAGAGGCACAATATCGCAGTTACAGTTTAATCAGATTTGTATCAGTTCCTTTTTCCAGGGAGGCAAACACACCTAACACTCCCGGCTTCTATTTTCCCCACAACAACCTGTGAGCTGGGTTATTTATTTCTAATTGAATTTATTAAATTTTTAATCCCACCTTTCATGCCTGCACATACACTTCTCACAGTGGTAAACATGCCTAATGCTCCTTCCTCCTCCCCTTTTCCCCCACAACAACCCTATGAGGTGGGATGGGCTGAGAGAAAGGGACTGACCCAAAGTCACCCCGATGGCCAGGTATACAGGTAGTCTTCAACTTCGTTTAGTAACCATTCTATTTTTCCCACGTCCACCGCAGTATCCCCATGGTCATGTGATCCAAATTAAGACGCTTGGCAACTAACTCATATTTACGATGGTCTCAGCGTCCCAAGGTCACGTGATCCCCCTTTGCGACCTTCTGACAAGCAATGTCCAGTGGGGAAGTCGGATTCCCTTAAGAACCCTGTTACAAACTTAACAACTGCCAACGATTCGCTTAACAACTATGGCAAGGAAGTCCCTGACAAATGTCTCGCTTAGCAACGTACATTCTGGTGGCAGTCGTAAGTCGAGGACTACCTGTATGTCCTGCCCTAATTTATGCCTTGATAAAAAGGGAAAGGGAATTTTTATCTATTTACTTTACTTGTTTAAGTTTATTCACCACCTTTCTCGCCGCGGGGCTACTCTAGATAGCTTGTAATAATAATAATAAATTATAATAGTAATAATAATAACAATAATAGCAGCAGCAAAAAGGAAGAAAAACAGAAGCAACAGCCATGGGAAAAGGAACCCAATGGGAATTCCACACCAGTCCCCCATTCCTGCTCGTCTCCCCGCTTGCTTCAGCTTCTTCCTCTTCCCTCCTCCTCCCTTCTTCCTCTAGGGCAGGGCTCTTCCAGCTTGGCCCTTTGATGACTTGTGGACTTCAACTCCCAGAATTCCTCAGCCAGCTTGCCTGGCTGAGGAATTCTGGGAGTCGAAGTCCACAAGTCATCAAAGGGCCAAGCTGGAAGAGCCCCTGCCCTAGGGTCAGGCCTGTCCGCGTGAGGACCCAGCCCAGGCGCGGCCGTCCAACCCATCCGGGTGAGGGGGGAAAAAAGCCCAGGGATCCAGTGGGGCGAAAGGAAAGGCCTCCGGCCGAGCCCCCCTCACGTACTGTCCATGCCCGGGAAGGGCAGCGGCTGCGCGCCCAGCTGCTGCTCCACCGCGATCTCCAAGTCGAACTTGATGTGGTCCACGCTGGCGATCAGCTCCTGCATGGCGGCGGCGGAGGAGGAGGCCCGGGTGAGGCCGGCCGAGGGGGCGAAAAGGGGCAGCGGCCTCCACCCGGGGCCGCCTCGACTCCGCCGGGAAGCGGCGCTGAAGAAGAAAAAAGTGGCCGAAGCGCGGCCAAGGGGGGAAGGAGAGGAGGAGGAGGAGGAAGCGCGCGCCGCCCGACGGGCCAATCGGGACTCAGCCCCGCGCGCAAGGCAGGCTGGGACTCGCGTCGCGTCGCGTCGCGCCTCTCGCGCGTTGGGCCAATGGGGGAGCGAGGCGGGCTTTGCCTCCAACCTCCCCCCACGCCCCCCCCGTCGCGGTCCAATCCAAGGAGCTCCGTTCTGATTGGGAGATGGAAAGAGAAAGATGGGGGGGGGAATGAATTGGCCTATCCACGCACACGCTAGCGGAGGGCGTCCCTCCCTGAGGAGAAGCTCCGCCCTCTGGTGGGCGTGGAGAACGAGAGGAGGACAGAACCGCGCTGGCTGAGGCGCTGGAACCAGGTTTGAGGTCTCTCTGGGCCCTATTTTTTCAAATTATAATATATAATATATATATACCCAAACTCGTTATTCCATATTTGTTAATCTAGTTTCTGTTCCGTCTTTCCTTCACGAGCTCCTGCTGGCGCTTCTCCCTCCTTTCTTGTTCTCCCCTCCCAACAACAACCCTGCAAGGTAGGCTGCTGTGTCCGCGAGAGAGGGAAAGAAGGCGCGAGAGACAGGCTCAGCCTGGCTGAGGAATTCTGGGAGTTGAAGGCCACAAGTCATAACAGGGCCAAGTGGGAACACCCCTGCGTTTGAGCCTGGCTCTCAAGGCCTTGAGGAGCAGCTGGATAAAAATAGGATTTAAATGCTTTTAAAGGTTTTCATGTAAACATTTTCTTTTTTACGTTATTTGTAGGATGGCTCGTGCAAAATGTATCCTTGCCGCTTTGGATCATGTTCCCAGGAAAGCAGGTGACCATTTTAAACGGCAATCCTAATTCCTTGGATCTGGATTTCATCTTTTTCATCTGGAGACAAGGAAAAAAAGGGGGGGAAGTATGATGTGCCGTGGCTTCTCTGCAGTATTTACCCAGAGAGGGTCTGTCTGTCCTTGGCTTTGTTCCGTGCACCGTTTAAGAGACATTCCTGGAAAAAAACGGATATGGCCTCCAAGCCTACAATCCGTAGAACTTCTGGACCGGAGGCTGATTAGCACATCCCGGTCAGTCTGTAAATTACACAACAGAGATTTGGAGGAGATGATGAGATCATCAGAAGCCCTTTCTAAAGAGGAAGAGGAGGAAGAGGAGAAATTTGATGCTGATGAAAGCTTTGGGTTGTTAACTCAGAAATACCCTCCCAAGCCCTTTTCTCGGGCACCTTCGGCTGATTTTCACAACTTACAGCTCCAAACCAAAGAACAGGAGGAGGAAGAGGAGGACGACGAAGAGGAGCTAGAAATAAAACCCAGAAGAGGTCGAAGAAATACCCCATACTGGTATTTTTTGCAGTGCAAAGCATTGATAAAGAAAGATAAGGTTATTACCTTGACTCTGTTCTTCTGCCTTTTTAGAAAAATGGGCATAATGAATGGCCTGGAAGGACAAGGGAAGATCTATTTGTTTATTTATTATATTTTTATCCTGCCTTTATGATTTTATAAGTAACTCAAGGTGACAAGCATTCCTAATACTCCTTCCCCCTCCTATTTTGTGCTCAAAATGTAGTCCCAGGGCCACAGGTGCCTTTGTGTGTGTGTGTGTGTGCGCGTGCGCGTGCAGCCATTGGAACTCTGAAACTGGATTGTAAGTTTTTTGGCTGGTCCATTGTAACTTCAAATGATTGCTAAGCAATCAGTTATTAAGTGAGGACTTCCTATATTTACCTCGATTTTTTTGCATCAATGCAGTTTTGATAGTTCTTACCTCTTGATCTTGTTTCAGTGTTGTGGGGTTTCGCAGTTAACTTTCTTCCTAACTGTCTTTCCTGTAGTTGGCTGAGGCTCTTGAGCTCTTTGAGGTACAAATGCTGAAGGAAGAACATCTACAGCCTGAGGAGTTCAACTATACGGTGCTGATTGGTGGATGTGGCAGGGTTGGGTACCTGAAGAAAGCCTTAAAGCTCTACAACGATGTAAGTACCCCAAGCTTAAGTTTCTTTCAAAGGGATTTTTGTCAAGACTTGATTTAAATTAACAAGAAAAAAAATGGCTGGTTTAAATCTGTGATTAGAGAGCTCCACTTCAATTGGAAACCTAAATTATGTGTCATTTTGCACGAAGCTCCTTTCTACATTTCTTAAATAATGCTGCAAATTTGCTGGCAAAGACTGCATTTGTTTTATTCCTGCAGTTAGACATCAAGTTATTTGTTTTATGCTCTTCTTTGTAATCTGTAGAGGAAGTCTTTTCAATATTCCATCACAGCAACCATTTATAAGTTTATGAATGTAAATGACGCTCATCAATACTTTGAAAGCATCCATTCTAAATGATGCATAATAGCAAAGGTGACAGATTGCCTTAGTCTTTATGAAGCTTTTATCTTGTTACGCTATTGGGAGGCAGATGAAAAAGCGAGGCCTGACGCCTACAATTGCCACATATACCGCCCTGTTCAACGCCTGCGCAGAGTCACCCTGGAAGGACAGCGGTCTGCAGAGCGCCCTTAAGCTGCGACAGGAACTGGTACAAAAAGGCATAGAGCTGAATCCAATTGCCTATCGCGCTTTGTTGAAATGCTGTGCTCTGTGTTCAGATCTCCACATGTGCTTGGATATATTAAAGGTAAAAAGAAGGAAAGGGATTTATGATTTATAATTGTTTGCAAAACTGTACCTATCAGCTGCCTTAGAAACCTCATATTCAAAATTGTTGTTATGAAATTTATCCTTGGAATTCATTGTTGTCTCACCCACTTTGGAATAGTCTGTATAAACCAGAACAGAAACTCCTGCTTGCATGTATACAAAGAACAATTAACCAGTGGAACAACCTGCCTCCAGAAGCGGTGAATGCTCCAACACTGGAAGTTTTTAAGAAGAGACTGGACAGCCATTTGTCCGAAATGGTGTAGGGTTTCCTGCCTGAGCAGGGGGTTGGACTAGATGACCTCCAAGGTCCCTTCCAACTTTATTATTATTAAATGGGTGCTGGGGTTCTAGAAATAGGTTGAATTTTCTGGTCTTCACAAGATTTAAATTACGGCAGGATTCACATGTTGCAGTATAATCACTTATCATGTTTATAAAATAACCCTGATTCATACAACATACTAAGCTAAAACCGGACATAGTATATGATGGTTTAGTACAGTTGATGAAGCCGGTTACAGGATGGTAATTTTGTTGCCTGAAACACGTCAGTTTCAGCTCTACAGATGACCTCAGCCAAAGAACACATCCTTATTTCTTTAAAAAAGGGATGGCGAAATTTCTAAAGATCTGTTCCCTGGAAATGCCGTATTTGGATTACAGAACAGCTGATCTTTTGTTACATGTTTACACTGAGGAGTAATTACGGAATCCTTACCTTTCCTCAGGAAATGGTGGGAAATGGCCATCCAATCACCACGGATACTTTCAACGTCCTGCTCATGGGGTGTATAAGCGACAAAGAGAACGGGTTCCGCTATGCTTTACAGGTCTGTTTCCTGCTTTTTGCTCCCTTCCAACAGTGGGTACAACTAAGCTCTTTCTGCTCTCCCCGGTGCATACTGACTGGGGAATTCTGGCAGTTGAAATCCACCCCTTTTAAAGATGTCCAAGTGGGGAAACTCTGACTCAGAATGGATGGATGTAAGTTAATAATCGGTACTGTTTTTGTTTTGTTTTGTTTTTTAAAACAGGTTTGGCAGCAGATGGGAAAGCTCAACCTCAAGCCTGACCTGTACACTTACAATTTGATGCTAAGCGCTGCCAAATACTGTGGTATTGGTGACACAGAGGTGGCTTCTAAATTGTTACTAAGACCCTCAGAGGAACGCCCAGCTTTCCTGAGGCTGAATTCTGGCAGAGAGCAAAGCACAAAGGGTCAGAGAAAGAAAAAAACAAACACTCCTGCTTTAATGTTACTGGATGTCGAAGCTCTGGAAAAAAACATGTTCCCAGGAAACGGTCCAAAAACTGGGACGCCTAATAGAAGCCGAGAGGATGCCAAGGACAGGGCAACGCCGGAGTCCAGCGATGACTCCGATTTATCAGACCGCGATACCGACTGGAGTTCTGTGATCTCTGCTGGGAACCAGTTGGTTCCGGAATCGACAGCTGGAACCTCTTTCCCGGAGCCTGCCGTTCCCCTGCCTAACTTGCTGGATTTGGAGAGCCCAGCCCCCCAGGTGATTTCCTTAGGGACGGTGGCCACCCCCTCCGATCGGCTGGCTCTGATGGGAAACATGGAAGGGTTCTTGCAGAAAATGAAGGACGACAAAGTGGAAGGCAATATTAGGACGTTCATATTGCTAGCCGAAAACATGGAATTTGACAGCCCGTCCGAATTGTTGGCCATCATGGAGGAGAACCACGTGAAACCAGATGTAGCTTTTTTTAATACGTTGATCAGAAAAAGGAGCAAGAAAGCAGATCTGGAGGCGGCAAAGGTAAAAATCATCCCTTTCTGTGCGTGGATCGATATTGTGGGAGCGCCGGATTAGCTAAATTCAGCTTTTAAGAGATTTTTAATTAATTAGATATTTAAAAAAAATCCCTTGTAAATTACTTTATAAGTAATTGAAAGTGGCAAAAATACCCAATACTCCATTGTCCTCTTATTTTCTCCACAACAGCAATCCTGTGAGGTGGTTGGGCTCAAAGAAAGTCGTTGGCCCAAAGTCACCCAGCTGAAAGCCTAAGGCAGGACTCGAACTCACAGCCTCTCCTGGTTTCTAGCCTGATGCCATAACCCAGAGATCTTCGAACTTGACAGCTTTAAGACTTGTGGACTTCAACTCCCAGAATTCCTCAGCAAGCCCTCAGGGCTGGATGAGGAATTCTGGGAGTTGAAGTCCACACGTCTTAAAAGCTGCCAAGATTGAATACCCCTGCCGTAATCACTAGGCCAAACTGGCTGTCTTTGTAAGATTTTCCTTTGAGGAACGGTTGCTGGAATTGGGGATGTCTAGTTTAACGAAGAGAAGGACGGGGGGGGGGGGGGACACATGATAGCAGTGCTCCAATATCTCAGGGGCTTCCACAAAGAAGAGGGAGTTAAACTATTCTCCAAAGCACCTGAAGGCAGGACAAGAAGCAACAGATGGAAACTAATCAAGGAGAGAAGCAACCCAGAACTCAGGAGAAACTTCCAGACAGTTAGAACAATTAACCAGTGGAACAACCTGCCTCCAGAAGCTGTGAGTGCTCCAATACTGAAAATTTTTAAGAAGAGACTGGACAGCCATTTGTCTGAAATGGTATAGGGTTTCCTGCCTGAGCAGAGGGTTGGGCTCGATGACCTCCAAGGTCCCTTCCAACTTTATCATTATAATTATTATTATTATTATTACTACTACTACTACTACTACTATATGTTAGAAATGTCAGCTTCATCTGCAGTTATTGCCTATTTTGGTGAACGTATACAGCCATGCTTAACCTCTTCTCAATTTACAGAGCCTGCTGCCTTTAATGTTGCAAAACGGACTTTCACCAGACCTGTACACATTTTGTAACCTGGCCATTGCCTGCCGCAAACTGAAGGAAGGGTTGCAGTTACTGTCAGACATGAAGGTACAAAACAAGCCACCTCTGAGGCCTTAGCCCTTTTTAGCAGACATGACCTGAAATTCAGAATCTCAAGGCCTTAATTTTCTGCGTTAAAAATATTTGCCGTAGCTTCAGTCTTCGCTTGGGACTCGAACAGAGAGAGAGAGAGAGGTACATTCCTTCTTCACAACCTGCCTTTGTTTCAAAACATTTTTGGCTTTTTGTGTATTCGTTTCAGCGATCTGGAATAAAACCCAACGTGCAGATCTACGGGGCACTGATAAATGCAGCCGTGAAGCGACTGAATTACACCTACCTCATCGAGATCCTTAAAGATATGAGCAGGAACCAGGTTGCTCCGAATGAAGTTATTATTAAGACTCTGGAGTTTGCAGCCCAATATCCTCCTAATTATGATAAGGTAAGATTATCCTCTGCTTTCCAGTTTGTTTAAACTTGCCTCGAGCCGATTTAAGCCAGGCCTAAAACATTAGGAACTTAAAACTTTATGGAACAGGTTTGGAAGGCATTAAATTGCTATGGATATTGAAACATAAGTGAGGCAGACTTTAGTTAAATGTTCACTTTAAGCTTCACCTCCAAAGAAAACCCCATTCGTGCTTTTGTCCATATAATTAAGCGATGCTGACTTGACGGCTTATCGTTGTCAGTTCTAATACAGGTAATCCTCAACGGCCGCAGTTGACCTCAAAATTTCTGTTGCTAAGTGAAGCATTTGTGATGTGAATTTTGCTCCCTTTTATGGCTCTTACCGCTGTTCTTAAGGCAGTGGTTCTCAACCTGTGGGTCGGGACCCCATTTGGGGTCGAACGACCATTTCACGGGGGTCGCCAAACAAGGCTGTCCGCCATTTTTTTCCCCTTTTCTTTGGCCAGGCCCCTGGCACCCGGTGATGTATAAGTGGTTGGGGGTCACCACAACATGGGAAACTGTATTATGGGGTCGTGGCATTAGAAAGGTTGAGAACCACTGTCTTAAGGGAATCGCTGCAAGCTGTTAAGTTAGTAACCCAATAGTAACTACACAGAATATTGTCCATGAAATCGCTGGGTGTAAAACCTGAATCCAATTAGGCCTCGTTCCAGTAGCTGGGAGATGTTGAAAGCAAAGGCAGGCCCATAAACCTCAAACTTGTCTTTCCCCAAGAATCTAGAAGACTTGCTGGTAAGAATTGGAGATAGAATAGCCTCGCATCATCCCGCCTGCAAAGACTCTATTCGGATTCTGATGCAAAGTACGCTTTTAATAACTTGCATTTGTTTTCTTCTGGCAGTACCAGAAAAAGGATCATTATCTGGAGAAAATTGATGGCTTCCGAGCTTTCTACTTCCGTTGGCTTAAGTGGATGGCTGGGGAAGAAACACCACACCCTTGGTCAAAATACCGATATAAGAATTTGGCACAAAGCAAAGATGGCGACAGGCTGGGACAAGATCAAGGCAGTCAGGTGCTGAAATAAAGCAAATATTGACCATTCATGATGGGATGCTGGCAACTTTTGTAAATTGCTTAATTCTGTACGTATCTGTTCACATGAAGCTTAAATTAACCCCTAGGTATATGTACAATTGCAACCCAAATTTATCTGGAACAAATCTCTCAGTAATATACTGTCTAATAACACGTTTATCTTACCAATTCTTGCTGGAGGTGATTAAATCTACCATTCTGTTTGTGCTCTAAAAGAAAGGTTATATTGGTTTTATAGCGATCTCTGTCTAAGCCATTTTGTTAGCTAGCATGGAGAATTCTGGGAGTTGAAGTCCACACATCTTCAAAGTCTCCAAGGTTGAGAAATAATGGTTATAACTTTTCAAAGGAAAATATTTAGAAACCTAAAATGCAATGTTTGAAAGTACAAGTTGTACTGAGCAACATTTGCTGCAAATATTTCCTACTCAACATTTTCTGGGAACATTGGTGGAGAAAACAAAAGAGACTATATAAATATAAATTTACAACTAAATAAAATTGGGCTTCAGTAAAGATTCCCAAAGTAAGGGAAATTTCCTATCCTTTTACTATCCCGCAGCATCCATACAACTATTCATATAATTAAAAAGGGACAATTATTTAACATGGCAGTGTATAAAATTTTGTTTCAGCTCCCTGGTTTCTTTGCTTGAAATGGATGTTGAGTTCCAAGAATTTTATATTTACTAATGATCATTATGTATTAGTGACCCCCAATATTTTCAACTCGCTAGAGGATAAAGAAGTACTTAATGTAGCCTATTATTGCTAGAACTAGTGCAGGAAAATAATTACAAAATCTGACAACGGTGCTTATCATTTGGGAGAAGCAGGCAAGACTTTATTTTAAAATACAATGACAATGTAGGACATCAAAACATCAAATGCATTTATACAATTATTCTATTGCGGGAGGCAAAGGGAATCATCTCACAATAGGTCTGTTGTGAAAAAAAAAATAGTTCTTATGAGCAGTCCTTGATGGTAACAAGTCACTTAAAATCTTTAAGAAGTTGGGGTTGCTTTTGAAGAATGTTTCATCCAGAGCAGCCTCGGCAGCCACAGTGAGTACACTCGATTATTCTCCCCTGTAGAAGGAAACCAACAGGTGAGTGGGAAAAATACCGTAAAGTAATACAAGAAATAGAAAAAAAGGAATCAGTGATTTGAAAAAACTTGATTTTAGAGCAGGGGTATTTTTTACAGGACGGGAATTTCATAAGCTATGTTTTATACATGATTGGGCTTTTGACTATGCATGCAAGGGGAGAAGAAAGTGGATACTAAAAGAATGGCTCCAAATGACTTAAAAACAATGTTCCTTACCACTTCCAGTTTACTTTTGGGCACTCTACAAATGCAGTTGGTTCCAAAATTGGTATCGCGAGTCTGGATGCAGCGTAAGCAGCAGAGGTTTTCGTAGCCTTGCTTCTTCCATTTTGCAATCAGGTTTTTGTCCGCGTAGCCTTCTCTAATACAATATTCATATAATTCTATATAGGGCAGGTACAGATGAAAGAGTGACTACATTCCTCTGATTAAATGAGCTAGAATTTGGAAATAGGTGAACACTGGTAAAGGTGTATGGAAATGGCCTTGAAGAAGGAATTCAGTAAATACCAGCTAATTCAGTAAATGTCACCTAAGCTATCGGGCACCAACAAGAAGTTCCAGTTAAGCTGGTTTATTGTTCATACCTGTATACAAGAATTTATCCAACTAACAGCATTAAACTGGTGTTAAGACAAGAGTTTAACAGAATTCAACAGGAGTTGGACTAAGTTTGTGGGAGTGTAAGGACTCCAGGCTGATTCCTCACTTGACTCCATCCCCAGATTGTCTGTCCTGCATAAGCAGAAGTGAAAAACTCAACATTGTCCCACTATCTTTTTTTGATATTAACAGGGCACGCAGAGAAACTGCCAGGCTTTCAAGAGTCTGTTATACCCCATAATAAGAGTTCCAGTAATCTTTGAAGTCTTGTTTCCTGACTTGGCCTACCTCAAAGGGCTGACTATTTTCCACACACACACAACAAAAAGACAAAGGTTTATCTTTTCAAGATGAGATCAAAAAGCCCACTGTCTTACCTCGACTAATGGCTTTCCTTTTATAGAAGAGATCAAAAATATAGCGTGTTTTCTGATGATGAATTCTGAAGATGGGCCAAAGAGATTCCACTTTTCTTTTTCCTTCATGTGGTTCAGTCTCAGCTGAGAGAGAAATGGCACAGACTGTACATTACTTTCCCATTCTCACACCTTTTTTCCCCATTTTTCTGTAACGTTTGCAGTTAAGCCAACACCCCCCCCCCCCCGTCTCTCACCTTCTCTCATTTTTTGATCCAGCTCATCTAGGGTTGGCTCAATCAATTCCCAGCCATCTGGAGGTGGTTTTCTGCTCCTTTTCACCTTGGGCATCGCTTCAAAAAAGGAAAAAAAACCTGCAGAAGAAACATTTGAGATGTATGTATAGTCTGATGAGGAAGACACCAAATGAAACGGGATGAGGGGGATGAAAATGTCAGTAGGAGATATAGGACATTGAGATTTTTATACCCAGTTGATAAAAACTAAAGCCTAACAGTGTTTCTTAAACTTTTTTTTCCCCTCAAGGGCCCTTCCCACTTAAAAAAAATAGACCCCCAAAAGAGCTTTGGTTTATATGGGTAATAATAACAATAACAATGGAGTTGGAAGGGACCTTGGAGGTCTTCTAGTCCAGCCCCCTGCTTAAGAAGAAGACCCTATCTCTTCTTAAAAACTTCCAGTGTTGGAGCATCCACAACTTCTGGAGGCAGGTTGTTCCACTGATTAATTAACTATCAGGAAGTTTCTCCTTAGTTCTAAGCTGCTTCTCCCTTTGATTAGTTTTCGCCAATATTTACCATATTAAAAATTAAAGCATTCACTGCCACTAGCCCTTCTCCAAATGAGGCAGTCGCTAAGCAAGGACTGCCTGCAATCTATGAAACGCATCACTTCTAAGACAAAGAGCCATCGATGCAACCCACACAAAGCAAAGCTCTTCGGGGGTCCTGTGTGATTTTGAGGAAGGGGAAAATAAAGGAACCCAAGCGCAGGTTCTTCTCCTTTGCAGGCTCTACTCCCGAGGTCAGGCTTCCTCCCCTCCCCAAGCAGCAACAGCAGGGCCGCCGGTCTTCCTCGGTGGGGAAAGGCCGATCACAGTGGCAGCCCAGGTGGAAGTCACACCGGTGAGTCTCCTTCCAGCAAGAAACTCTCCCTGCGGGTTTCTGCCTGCCTGCCACGCAGCGAGGCTTTAAACATGCCCTCGCCAGAGAGAGACGGGGCCTCGGGGGCCACGGTCGGGGTTTCGGGGCTCCGGGCCCCCCTTCTGGCCCGACGGGGGGGGGGACACTCACGTTTTCGGGGCGCTGCTTTTCTCCTCCGCCGCGCTCTTCCGCCTCTCCGGCGCTCCCGTCGCCCCGCAGTGACGTCACCCGCACCCAGGCCCTCCTTTCCCCCGCAGTCGCTTCCCAGAGGACTTTCCCTAGTCCATCTGTCTAAAAAAGTTGCCTGATTGGCCGGGCGCCAGAATTCAGGCGCGACGCCTTCACAAGAAATCCTCGAGTGAGCCGACACTCTTATCGGAGCGGCCGAGACGGAAAGACGCGCTGCTTTCATTCCTCCCCCGCACGCTAAAGCTCGCTCCGTTTTCCATCAGGCGGTAGGCAAGACAGCCTCAACGCAGGCAGCCACGAAAAGAGGGTGGCCGGGGACCTCAACCGACGATGCCGAGGACGACGCCGGCCCCACTTCCGTTTCCGGGTCGCTCCCAGCTCGGGGCGAAGCGAGGCGTGTTGGGGGGGCGGGAGGAGAAGCAGGAGGACTCGCTCGCCGTCGGAACCGCCATTGTTGCCTGACCTCGCTATGCCCAAAGGAGGTGAGCGCCCAGCCGACCGCCGGAGGCTGCCGCCGCGGGGCCCGTTCCGGGGAAGACCCAGCTCCTCAAGCAGCTGGACTACACTCCCCATCGTCCCCGGCCGGGCCCCATGGGCATTACAACCCGCCGCCCCCCCTGCCCGGAAGGGCCGGGATGCCTTGGAGGCGTTTCAGGGCCTTTCCTGCTGATTCCTCTCCTTAAAAAAAAAAAAAACTAAAGAAATCCTAAAATTGGGGAGGGGGGTTGTTTGGATAGCATTCAAGGGCAGCCCCCCCCCCGAGATTCTTCCTTTAAGGAGGTGGGGGCACAAATTAGGGTCAGATCAGCGGGTGGGTGGGGGCTCCCTGAGAGCCAAATCAGCGGGTGGGGGGATTAATTAGTGCCAAATTAGAGGGAGGGATTAATTAGTGCCGAATTAGAGGGTGGGGGTCCCTGTGAGTCAAATCAGGGAGGGGGGCTTAATGTCAAATCAGGGAGTGGGGGGGCCTCCATGAGAGCCAAATTGGGGTGGGGGGGATTAAGTAACGTCAGATTGGAGAGGGGGTCTCGGAGTCTAATGGGGGCGGGGCTTAATTGGAGTGAAATCGGGGTGGGGGGCTTAATTAGCCCGAGTAGGGGAGGAAGAGGGGGAGAACCCTCCCTGCTTTCCCCCAGCATTCCTTCCTGTCTCCCCCCCCCATGTGATGGGAATCCGGTGCCTGGGCAGCAGCAGAAGCAACCTGGCAGCCTCTCCTGCTCCTCCTCCTGGGGGGGGGGGGGATGGCAGGGCCAGCTGGGTGGATTGCATCAGGCCACCGGGATCTGCTGGGAGGGCTTCCCGCGGGTCGGCTGCCAAGCAGAGCCAGGTTTTTTTGGGGGGGGGATTGCTGGCAGCCTCCCTTTCCATGTGGGAAGCAGGATGGGATGGGGTGAGTAAGGGAGGTCTCAGTTTATACCCCGCAGCTGAGGAAATTCACCCTCCCCCCTTTGGACGGCAGAAAGCACCTTCCAAAGAACTACCCACTTTGGGAAGTCTTTCGGCCTTCTCTGGTTAAAATCTTATATTTCTCCATGGTTATGTTAACTAGTTTAACGAAACGTCTGCAAGAAAACCACCACGCTCGGAGAGCAGCAAGGACCCCACAGTCCTCCTCCTCCCCCCTCTTCTTCTTTTCCACTCCCTTCTACCATTGATGATGTTACCTAGTTTGGTAATGAAACATCTGCAAGAAAACAACCAAGTACCCCTCATTTCAACCCTGAGCTACAAATATTCTCCTTTATACTTATTTTTTTCCCCTCCTGGTCCTTTAGCCAGAGGGGGTCTTCTCCTGGAATTGAGCCTGGATTGTAGATTTCCTAAAATAGCAATAGCACTGAGACTTACATACTGCTTTACAGGCCTCTCTAAGAAGTTTACAGAGTCATGACTTGTCATTACTCCCCCCCAACAATCTGGGTCCTCATTTTACCCACCTTGGAAGGATGGAAGGCTGAGCCATCCTTGAGCCGGTCAGGATCGAAAGCAAGAGGAAGGGCGGGATTGGTCCATAGGGAACCCAAAAAGCCTTTTCCCCACCCCCTACCCCTGGATGGGTTCTTCAACAATATTTCCTTGCTCTTCTTTCATGTATCCATTTCTGGAAACGGCCTTTCCCCCCCCCCTCAGGCCTTTCCATGGTGTGTATGGGGGGTGGGGGGGTGCTGATGTGGGAGAAGACTATTTTATCCTGGCAACTAGCTGCTTCCCCCAATGGGAGTCTAAGCCTGTCTGCCAATGGAAGCAGGACAACTTAGAGGAGGAAGAGGGGAGGGAATAATCGTAAACCCACTTTCTACTTGCAGGTAAAAAAGGGGGCCATAAAGGCCGAGCACGGCAGTACACAAGCCCGGAAGAGATTGATGCCCAGCTGCAGGCTGAGAAACAGAAGGCCAGGGTAAGGAGCTGAGCTTTCGAAGTGTCGGGCCAGGACACAGCTCATCTGGTCCTGTGTCAGCTGTCCCAGCTTGGTCAGTTAGAAAGCAAGACTCTTAGGCCCACGTTTAGCCAAGGGTATACTTGATGAAAGCCGAGTGGTTACCGAAGAAGCAATGCTGGATTTGAGGGTTTCCCCAAGGTACAGTTAGTCCTTGACTTATCGACCATAACTTATTGACCACAATTTTTGTTGCTAAGCAAGACCTTTGTTAAGTGAGTTTTTCCCCTTTCTTGCCAGGGTTTATTTCAAGCATTTGGCAGCCAGCTTGCCCTTTGCAACTAGCTGTGGCTTCCTCCAGTCACGTGGCCACAATTTTTTTAGCCATTTTCTTTTGCTGGTTTCCGAGAAAATTGCCTATCCAGAAGAATGGGTTTGCACTTACAGTGGTTCGCGGCTGTGGCTTTGCTTCATGACGGCGGTGGTTCATTAACGACCACCGCGAAAATTGTGGTAACGTTGGGATCAGTTCTGTGGGTGTTCCGACTTACGACTGTCAATATGGCCCCAGTTGTGGTGATAGTAAGGTAGCTTAGGCTGAGAAGGGGCAGCTCCCCCTTGTTGTCCTCTCAACGTTCCCAGCATGCCAGGCAGTCAGAGAGAGTAACGGGCTCTCCATTGATTGAAGCTAAATCACTCCGGATCGTTCTGGCCTCACCATAATTTCCCCTGCGGCTGTTCTGCTTTGCTGATGCTTCTCTTTTCCACAGGAAGAGGAAGAGGAGCAAGAGGAAGGAGGCCCTGGGGCCTCTGGCGAACCCAAGAAGAAGGAGAAGTCGCTAGATTCGGATGAGAGCGAGGAAGAAGAGGGCGAAGACTATCAGGTAGAGAGGAGGAGGAAGAGGAGGAGGAGGAGGGGGAGGAGGTTGGTTGGGGTGGAAGCACTTCCCTAATACAGGAAGCAGAGAAGAGGGATGAGCTGCTGCTGGCTTAGAGTCAGCCAGTTGATTCTTCCACACACATATTGGGCTGCCTCTTGTTCCCTCGCCACAGCCTGGGATCGGGCTACTCCTTTGCCTTAAAGTCAGCCTGGCTAGGGGGCCAGACTGGAAAGGGAGCAGATGAGCTACGTCTGCTTCATTGTAAGGCTACATTAACAGACCCTTGCAAGGAGAGGTTTTTCCACGTCTCTTTTCTCCAGCCTGACAAGCTGGGGAGGGTTGTTTCTGACTGCCTTCCCTTCCCTGCCTCCCTTTTTTCCTCCTCTCCTTCCTCTCCTTCCTCCCCTTCCCTTCCTCCCCTTCCCTTCCCTTCCTCCCTTTTTCCTTCCTCTCCTCCCCTTCCTTCTTCCTCCCTCCCCTTCCCTTCCTCTCCTTCCCTTCCCTTCCTCCCTTTTTCCTTCCTCCCTTTTTCCTTCATCTCCTCCCCTTCCTTCTTCCTCCCTCCCCTTCCTCTCCTTCCCTTCCCTTCCTCCCTTTTTCCTTTCTCCCCTTCCTCTCCTCCCCTTCCTTCTTCCTCCCCTTCCCTTCCTCTTCTTCCCTTCCCTTCCTCCCTTTTTCCTTCCTCCCCTTCCTCCTTCCTCTCCTCTCCTTCCTTCTTCCTCCCTCCCCTCCCCTTCCCTTCCTCTCCTTCCCTTCCTTCCCTTCCCTCCTTTTTCCTTCCTCTCCTCCCCTTCCTTCTTCCTCCCTCCCCTTCCCTTCCTCTCCTTTCCTTCCTTCCTTCCTCTCCTTCACTTCCTTCCTTCCCTTCCTCTCCTTCCCTTTCTTCTTCCTTTCCTTCCTCCTTTTTCCTTCCTCCCCTTTCTCCTTCCACTCCTCTCCTTCCTTCTTCCTTCCTCCCTCTCCTTCCCTCCCTCCCCTTCCTTCTTTCTTCCTGTCCTCCTCTTCCATCCATTTTTCTGTTCTTTCCCCGCTATGCAGCTGCCAACGATAACCTCTCTTATCCCCGGGCCACACCTCTTTCCTCCCGCTCCCACTTCTCCATCACACAACTACCTCCCAGAAAGAGGTTCCAACTGGCTCTTTTCTTGCGCCTTTCCCTTCCAGCCAAAGCACAAAGGAGTGGAAGGCATGATCGACATTGAAAATCCCAACCGCGCGGTGCCAACCTCTAAAAAGGTTACTCAGCTCGATATGGAGAGCCCGCGGGAATTGTCGCGTAGAGAACGGTAAGCCATCTCCTTCCCCTCTCAGGGAGGGGTGGGTGGGTGGGGGGCAGTCCTGGCCTTGCCGGCCTCTTTCCAGAACTTCCAGGAATTAGCCAAAGGTTTGGATGATGAGGGTTTTTTTTTTTTTCTTAATCCCTTGGAGAACAGGGAAAGGGCAGCACAAATTGCACTCTCTGGTTTCATTCTTCACATCCGCCTTTGTCAACCTTGGCCTTAGCAGAGCTACCTGGGGGATTCTGGGAGTTGAAGTCCTCGCCTTCGAAAGTGGCAGGGCTAAAAAAAAAAAAAAAACCCACTATCTTGACTTGCAAGCGAAACGTAGCCTGTCGGGAGCCTTGCGGTCACGCACAGGCAGTTCTTGACTTACGACCACCAGGAAGCCCGAAAAATTTCTGTTGTTAAGCGAGACATTTGTTACGTGCGTTTTGCCCCATTTATGACCTTTCGCGCCACGGTCGCTAAGCGAACCCCTGCAGTTCATAAGTTAGTAACCCGGTTGTTAAGTGAATCTGGCATCCCCGTTGACTTGGCTGGTCCAACGGTCGCAAAAGGGGATCCTGTGATCTCCACGGTCATAAGTATGAAGCAGTGGCCAAGCGTCTGAATGTTGACCGTGCGATCACAGAGGATGCTGTATAGGTCGTAACGGTGAAAAAGGGCCATACGTCACTTTTTTCAATGGGAACCTTGGACGTTCACTAAATGAGCTGTCGTAAGTCGAGGACTCCCTGTATTTCTCTCTTTCCCCCCCCCTCCGGCTCCTGCTGCTTTTAAAATTTGCTCTATAGCCAGGCCGCAGGGCTGAAATACAAGCTGTTTGATTCCCTCTGTTGAACCTGCCGTGTCCAGCTGGGCCAGCTGCTCCCCAAGGCACCGTGTTTACCTGGATGTTGTGCTCCTTCTTCCTCCTCCCTCCCTCCCTTTGCAGAGAAGAGATTGAAAAACAGAAAGCCAAGGAAAGGTACATGAAGATGCACCTGGCGGGGAAAACGGAACAGGCAAAGGCCGACCTCGCCCGGCTAGCCATTATCCGGAAACAGAGGGAAGAGGCAGCCAAGAAGAAGGAAGAGGAGAGACGAGGTGGGAGGAAAATTTGGTGGAGGCTAAAGGAGATGGAAATGAGAAGGGAGGAAGGGAGGGAAGGAAGGAACTACATCAGTGGTTCTCCACCTGTGGGTCGGGACCCCATTTGGGGTCGAACAACCATTTCACGGGGCTCGCCAAACAACACAGTCTGCCATTTTCTTTCCCCTTTAGCTGTGCTACTCCCTTTTACTCTATTGGCTTTTGAAAGCCAATAGAAGAGACTCTCTTGAATAGAGTCTAATTCTATTGGCTTTCAAAAGCCAACAGGAATTGTCCAGGTTGTCTCTGCCCTGCTGAGCCCGCCAAAAGTCCCATTCCGCAAACGGTGCTGCACCAGTTGAGTAGTCCTCGACTTACGACCGGTTGGGGGTCGCGGCATTAAAAAGGTTGAGAACCCCTGAGCTAGATGGAAATGAGAAGGGAGGATTCAGCGGTTCTTATCTCTTGCTTCCTTCCCCAGCTAAAGACGAAGCAGCCCTGGCAGGCAAGCGGATGCAGTCGCTGTCTCTCAACAAGTAAAGGCCGGCCACCCAAGAGGAGGGAAATCCCGGGACTGTGCCTGGCCTGGCCCCCTTTGGACTCGCTGCAGCGTCCTTTCCCAGAGTGGCTGCAGGAGGGGAGGCAGCCACAGCGATGGCAGCCTCACCGTCACCTCTGAACAGAAACGGACGGCTCCGTGTTTGTCTTCATCTGGGCACAGAAATTCCATGGGATTACTTTTGGGGGGGGGGGGAACGGGGTGGGTGGGCACGCAGGCGAGGGAGGGAAAGCAGCAGGGGAGGGCAGGAGAACCGGGATCTCTTAACTTTTGGTGCAGAGTCGTGAGAACGCCAACGGTTGCATTAAAGTGACCGTTTTCAGGAGGGGGGGGGAACCGCCGCCGGCTGAACGGTTTGAGGTGTTTTGATTTCGGGTGGGACGCAAACGGAGGTGGAAGATTTGCTGGGGAGGGGTGGATGGCTTCAGCTAGCTTTCAGGAAACTAGGCGGGGGGGGGGAAGGAGTAGCTTGGACCCCTGTAGATGCATTTCCAAAAGTTATATATTGGGGGGGGGGAACGCAGTGTGCTTTGGCATGAGCCTGGACTGTAGCAGAGTCCAGGGAAATGAACAATTGTGGGGGGGGGGTTGGAATCCTTAGCTCCAACCCTCTGGCTATTTAGTTTTCGCTTATCCACCCTGTTGTTATTTTTTTTTAAAGCCGTCCTTTTCATTTCCTTCTTCTCTGGGAGTCAGTAAAGACTTTTTTTTTTCCTTTTTAAATAACCTGAGCAAAAATGAAAACCAGAGAACGCATCTTGGGGATTGTGTATCCTTCTGGACTAGAGGCAGGCGAGACGGGGGGGGGGGGAAGAGAGAAACCTGTATATTTGGCTGAATAAAGTTTAAATTATCGTAACAGTCTGGTCTAGTGGCTTTAACCCCCTCAGGAAAAGCGTTCGAACGTCACCTGAGAAAGGGTTTTTAAATCCCGTTTTCCACAGGGCGGATAACCTCAGTCTGGGGGGGGGTCCTCCAAGCCGCCCAGATTTCACTTCCCAGGGTCCCCCTGAAATCCTGCTAATAGGGGTCAGAGGTGAGGCAGTATAAGCCGTCCTCAACTTAGTTCATTTAGTGACTGTTCGGAGTTAACAACGGTGCTTGAAAAAAAGTGATTTAGGGCCGTTTTTCACCCTTAGGGCCGTGGCAGCCTTCCCAAGGTCACGTGATCCAAATTCGGACGCTTAGCAACTGGCATGTACTTGTGACGGTTGCAGTGTCCCCCGGGGTCACGTGACCCCCCCCCCTTCGCGACCTTCTGACAAGCAAAGCCAGTGGGGAAGGCAGATCAACAATGTTGGTCTCCGTGGTGGATGTAAGTTGAGGACTACCTGTAAATTCTGAAAAACGCCGGCTTGACTGCGGGGGGGGGGGGAAAGACCCCAAACCATGACAGACTCAGATTTTAGAGTTTGTTTTTAATTGCAGGTATTTTATTTAATTTTTTTTAACCACTCTGGGTTCCTGCCCAGGAGGCTTAAAAGCTGAGTTTGTAGCATCTGGGATTGACTTTCAAAGGTTCTCCAAAGCAGGAATGGACTACGCCTTGATTGGTTTTCTTGGCAGGCAGGAATTTGCTTATTTGATGCGAAGTCCTTTCATCGCAGCCTCTAAGGTCTGAAAACACAAAAGGAACAGGCTTCCAATCCGGTAGCTATTTGCTCAGGGTCAGAAATGGGTCCATCAGGATCCAGGGTGATTTCACCCTGGATTCACAGTTCTATAAGTCTCTTAACACCTTGTTTGGGTTTTTTTTTTTCTCCCTTTTCTTTGCCTCAAGTGGGAAGTAAAAACATGGGAGTGAAAAAAAACTTCTTGTCTTCTGTTTCCCCCTGAAAACTCAATTCCCTTTCCTGCCTTGATTTTCTTCCAAATTTCCACTGAACCCTAATTTTTGTGTTTGTTTTTTTTAGCGGGAGAATAGGTTTTGCTTCTTGCAATGTGAAGAAACAAAGTGAACCATTAAAGCCCCAGTTGAGAAACCCTGATCTAAAACAAGCCCTGCATTGCAGCTAACCAGGATTTTGATTTTTTGAGAATCTTCTGGGACTTTAGAAAGACAAATGATGCTGGAGCCAGATGCTCTGTTTTTGATATTTTGGGAAGTTTTTTTACAGCAGGCCAACTGCACATTTAAGCATTAAAATGTCTAAACTCAACATGAAGAGAAGGACCAGGGTGATGTGATAGCTGTGTCCCAATATCTCAGGGACTGCCACAAAGAAGAGGGAGCGAAGCCATTCTCCAAAGCACCTGAAGGCAGGACAAGAAGCAACGGATGGAAACTAATCAAGGAGAGAAGCAACCTGGAACTAAGGAGAAACTTCCTGACAGTTAGAACAACCAGTGGGACAACCTGCCTCCAGAAGCTGTGAATTCTCCAACACTGAAAGTTTTTAAAAAGAGACTGGAGAAACATTTGTATAGGGTTTCTTGCTTGAGCAGGGGGCTGGACTACAAAACCTCCAAGGTGCCTTCCATCTCTATTATTCTATTCTAACATTCCTGTTTCCTCTGTATCAATTCCATCTGATGGCATGGGGAAGCCCCCTTCAGCCCTTGCTGCTTACCTTGACATCCCATATGCTCATGCCGCCATCCATTCCGGTAGTACAGAATTTGGAGCAGTTGCCCTTCCCGCCAGCAACCACAGAGATTTGGCTGGAAGAGAAAAGAGAAGAATCCCTGAGTTGAGTCTTCTCAACTGGAGCAGAAAACCCTACAAACTGGATAGTGATGGGCAACAATCATCCGTGGGTGGTGGATCCAGGAACAGGGAGTAGCTTGATCTTTTGAAAATCCAGCTCTTCAGAAAGTGGATTTCTTAGTTGCATAAGAATTGAGTCCAACACTGATGCTGCAGTCGTTGGGAATTGTGATTGAAGGACTGGGAGGATCCAAAGGAGCTTTTGGGGAATAAAAAAACCCCAACATTTCCTAAAGTCATCTTCTTGGAGATGTCAGAGATTGACCATGGATCCTTGCACATCAAGTTCTACCACCAAGCCAAGTCATTCTCAGAAGTTAGAACACGAGATTTTTAATTTCACAATTTTTAGATGGTCCGATGGCAAAGTTATGGTCCAGTCTAGGTCATAGAATCCCACCCCCCTCCCTCTCAAGTTAATTCTGGTTGGGCTTTCAAGTTTTTAATAGTTTCCTGATTTCTAAAATCACAGCCACAACAGAAAAAGGTCTGCCAATTCCTCCAACAGAAAACGTTGCAAAATTTGCTAAGCTGATCAAGGATGTTGATTTTGATTATGGCTTCAGGACATTTTAAGGAAGATGGAACCAGGGCTCAGCGGTAAAAGGAGACGAGCTTTTTTAAAAAGAAAAGTTTCTCAAAGCAGTTTGAAGTGGTTTCCTTAGTTTGAATGAGGGTGGCTTGAAGCCACCTGATCAGATCGTGAACTTAGAAGATAGGTCTGTATCTTCTGAGAAAACTATAATGCCACAAAAAGATGAAAGAAAGAAGGGAAATAAGATAAATGGCAGCAAAGTGGACAGGGTCAATGCATCACCATTGGAAGAGCGGAAGGATCAGGTTGGGCACAGATCCCCTTGCAGAAAATCTACGTAGTTGCTAAGAATTGACACCAATTTGGTCAACCCATCTATATCTCATAAAGTGCTCTCCAAACTTGGCAGCTTTAAGACTTGTGGACTTCTGCTGGCTGAGGGAATTATGGGATTTGAAGTCCACACGTCTTCAAACTTGCCAGGTTCAAAGACCCCCCTGTTATAAAGGAAAGAGGAGTTTTAAAGCGGACTTGCCTGATGCTGTTCTTGTGGACTGTGTCCAGAGAAGCCTTGTTGGTGTCAGAGCTGGCTTTCTTGTCCAGGTTTTGAAAGCGCTCCCTAGCTGTGAGTCCCCGCTGGGAACTCTGTTTGGGGATGTCCATTTTCCCTCCATAGCTCAGTGCACCCTGCTGTTCGTCGTACGCAAACAGCATTGGGTAACAGTCGTGTCCCTGGAAAAAGAGAAGTCAAGAACGTATCTCAGAAGACGATGGCGAGGAAGTTCACGTGTTACGACTGATGGTTGGATAGAGCTACCCCCGAATCGGTTTCCTTCAGATGTGGCTGGTCCACAATTCCCAAATGTGTCGTTCCTGGGAAAGTAGTACAGCTGGGAAAGGATTACATTGTGCTCTAAATTTCATAATCTGTGGAAAGAGGTAAGATGGAGAATGCTGGATGCTTTTCAAGAAAGACAGAAGAGGACATATTCTATCAGATGAGGTTATCTAGTTTGGGTTGTGAAACGTCTGCAAGAAAACATCCAATCTCAGAGACCACCAAGGATCGCCTATTACAAATATTTTCCTTTACTGGACTGTACCTTTTGCAGATCCATTCCTAAGCGGTATGGTGCCATCTACCTGTTAAGCCTTAAAATGACATTATCCACATAGCGAGGACGATCGCTTAGCCATTTCCCCAAATGAGGGACACATTCCTCTACGTGAAAATCTTTTGTGCGAAAATCACCCAATAAAGGAGAAAGCGCATGACTTACGGCAGCCACAAGACTGTTCTCGGTGATGAAAGTCACAGCCAGGAGGGGCAGAGTCTCCGTAGAAAGGCAGGCTACCCTGAGGAGAAAAACAAAGCTTGAGACCAATCCTTCATATTCGTTTCAAACATGAATGTGAAAACTCCAGTCAGAGATTGACTGATTTCAAATAAAGCACCACACATCCAATGTTCCAAACTCTACATCCGTGTGAATTTTTGTTGATCCACATATATCAGTTCTCCAAGATATACCAAACTCATAGACCAAAAAAGCATGCAGGCTAATGCAACTTTAAAAATATAAGGTTTTAATAAAAGATTCTTGCAATGCTGTCTCAAATTACATTTCTGTCCCAGCTTTCTCTTATCCAACTGTTGTCCTAACTGTGATTCTTAACAGAATAACAGAGTTGGAAGGGACCTTGGAGGTCTTCTAGTCCAACCCCCTGCTCAGGCAGGAAACCCTATACCATTTCAGACAAATGGCTGTCCAGTCTCTTCTTAAAAACTTGCAGCATTCGAACATTCACCGCTTCTGGAGGCAGGTTGTTCCATTGGTTAATTGTTCTAACTGTCATGAAATTTCTCCTATTTCTAGGTTGCTTCTCTCTTTGGTTAGTTTCCATCCGTTGCTTCTTGTCCTGCCTTCAGGTGCTTTGGAGAATAGCTTGACTCCCTCTT